AGTTCTCTGCAAAACCAGAGTTTTCAGCAATCCTGCAGTAACTAATTACACTAAGCACTAATACACTTGAAAGTATTAGAGCTTGCAGCATGTTATAATCCCCTTAAGGATGGTAACACATGAATGTCACCACTATACTGTCTGTCTTCACTAAAATTGGTAGAAAAATATAATTCCTTCCTGGTGTAGGTAAGGCTTCAGCTATGAGCCTGAAAGACTCATTTAAGAGCCTCCACAGGAATTCAGGTCCCCCCCAGACTCCAAACATCAAGTAACTCTGTTACTCCAAGTGCTAAGAGCTGGTCCTAACCACATCTACCCTGCTATTAAATCTTTTACTGTTCAGCAACAAACAGGAATGATAATGGTTTACACACAGCGCTGCTGTTAACACAAGAGCCCAGAAGCCTTAAACACTGGGTTTGACATCTTTGCTATTAAGACCTTCCCTCACTGTGGGCTTCACTATTTCCGGAAGCAAGTGACAACCACAGGCTCACACGGCGACAGCCCCCCGCCTCACCTCCACCAGAAGCAGGGCCAGCACCAGTTCAGCCCCCCACCTCACTTCCACCAGAAGCAGGGCCAGCACCAGGCAGGCTGCAGCATGGCTGGAAACAGCCTTCACCCAGTCGCTCCATCTCTGACCTTAGAAACGGGTCTTGCGTCACAAAGAGCTAGTTTTGCCAGATAAGCAAGAATGGCGCTTAGACCCGCATCAATTCAGATAGAACTTAATTAGAATCTTGTTATTTGGTGTTAAAAAATTAAACTGATCCCATATTCCAATGACACAGTGCCTTCCTTGCTAGGTGCAGCTGCCTTAGGACCTTGTAAAATACAGCAGGTGCCTAAGCAGGGGTCTTGAGAACCAAACGAGCAGTCTGTCACACATGATGCGACGCTAGAGACCACCCTCGGGATACAGCAATAGCTTAAAATGAAATAAAAGTGAAGACAAGCTACAGAAAAACCCAGAAACCTACTTCTGGACTGAACTACACGGACAGAATATTTGTGTTAACAGGTTCAGCTGTAGCAATGTGTCCAACGAGCTATGCAGGTTGACTCTGGTATGGGCTCTTCAGGAGCAAAACCAACCATTTCTGAATTTTGCTCTTTGAACCTGAAGACTTAACTCGTCAGCTCTGACAGCTTAGGGAGCCTTCGGAAAGCAGCCGAGCCACACTGCTCGGAGAGAGCGGGAGTTCAGACCTACCCCTCCGCTGTTTCTCACCACTTCTGTAAGCAAGCCGCCCTCCACACCCGCGAGGATACACGCACCAAGGCGGGCAGGTACCGTCAGCAAGAACGGGGCTCTCAAACCCGCCCCATCAGGAAAAGGATACGGTAACTTCCTCTTGCCAAAGAGATAAAGGCTAGTTATGCCACGTCTAATTGCCTCTTGCAAAAAAAAAAAAAGGCACCTCCAAAACAACCTTGACATTTCCAGGCAGAGCGCAGCATCCTCCCGTTACCTGTGTTTGCCAGGCAACAGGTTCGGCAGAAGCCCAGGAAGCCAAGCCAAGGACAGACCTGGCCAGAGCCAAGTGCAACAAGGGACCCGTGGGCCTCTGACACTGCTGTTCACACACAGAGACAAGTGGAGTTTTTTAAAATGCCAGGAAGGTTTTATGCCAAAACAGACAAAACCAGGTAATCATCAGTCTCCAACAAGGAGCTGCTGGCACCGGCTTTAATCACTGATGTCAGCTGCAAGTTTACAGTAAACAGATCCTTACAGCAGCCTCAAATCCCCCGTCTTTGTTCTACCACCAAAGATATTTTGAAGAGGAGCATGACTGTCACTCCAATTACACACCGCTCGTGTAAGTAAACAGAATCCAGAGGACATAATGCCACTTGCATTGCAGATTGCTGTTCAGAAAGGTTAGAACACAAAGCAGTTCGGATGATTCCAGCAACCCAGCGGCTGTCACTCAACACCACCACCCAAAACTGAAAACCACCACACAGGTATTCTCCAACCCTTCAAGAACACAAAAACACTCCACGTTTACTCCAAAGAGCACTTCATTTCTTCGAAGACACCCAGAAGAAGACCCAGACACTACAGAGCCCTGATGAAGATCAATGCCTGATGCCACCTGGCTGTTCCTTCACCCTCCGGCGTGTTTATGCTAGTCAGCCTCCTGCAGTCAAGTTGCAAAAGGGGCAGGAAATGCCGAACCTGACACCATCTAGTCACAACAGTCAATATTGACATTTCCTCATTTCAATGCCATGGGGGGGAGGAGGGAACACAGAAGGAATACATCCTAGTGGGCAGCTGTTTTGACAATTCAGCTTCCAAATGCTATCACTAGTATCTCATCTATCCCTCTTAGAATCATAGAATCACTAGGTTGGAAAAGACCTTAGAGATCATCCAGTCCAACCGTATCTTCAGCTCCTCCACTCAAGTGAAAAAGCGCACTAACTACGATGTCCCACAGCCCCGAAGTTTCAAGGAAGCTCTGAGAAGTACTCACACTCCCTCCACTTCACACCCCTGCAACCAGCAGCTTCTAATCCTATAACCTGAATAGGAAAGTTGAAGGAGGCAGGTCTTTTTATGACTAAAAACTTTAAGTAGCTATCCCGTTGACCTCAGAGTTCTGGCATGCCCAGGAGAGAGGATCTGAGGCTACAGTCTGATCTGAAGCTGTGATAAGGAAGTGAGAATGTGTACATTGTAGGCAAGGCACTTCTAGAACTACAAACTGACATCTCTACTTG